ACCCCCCTCTGGGCCCAACCAGGTTTCTGTAATGCAAGCCAGGTCTGCGGTTTCCTCCTCAATCAAATCACAAATGAGGGGAGCTTTATTGACCACAGACCTAGCATTAAAATAAACCAGCCTAAGCCCAGGGCCCCAATCTCTCAAACCCCCAGGAGGTCGGATAGAACCAGGAGGGTCGGAGCGCACCACTGCTCGGATATAGTGGGGGCGGGCTCCCAAAGTCCGATACGGCCTATACTTGTGGAGTAATATTAATTATTAATTTAATATAAATTAAACTAAACTTGGATGGGGGATTATTTATTTATTTATTCAATTTCTAAATGCAGTGCAGTGCAATGCAATGCAATGCAATGCAATACAATACAATACAATACAATACAATACAATACAATACAATACAATACAATACAATACAATACCATACCATACCATACCATACCATACCATACCATACCATACCATACCATACCATACAATACAATACCTTTCCTCCCGGCCTTTTTGGAATGCAAGCCTGCTTCGCAGCTTTCCCTCTTTCTTAAAAGTTATGTTTAACCTTGGCTTGATCCCAACAGTTATGCATCCAGGTTTAATAAAAAACACATTATGAACACTCTCTGAATACCTTATATTTTTTAAATTAAAAACCCATCTAATATTGGCCATTCCTCTATTTGTAGGCCTGTGATTCAGAAGAAAGCTAAGAGGGTAGCTTGGTAACATAAGAAATAAACTTCATTTCAGCCTGAAACACTGTCATTTTTTTAACAGTACAGAAAACTCTATCCATTCTCTCGATATAATTTATAATCCTCTCAATCCACATTTTAATAATCTTAAAAGCTCCAAATACATCAGTTTTCTCTGATAGGGAAGACACTACATGCCACTGTTCAAATTGGCAACTTTTATTTGTTATGACATTCATTTGTAGATGAAGCAGCCTGAAATTTACACCGGATTTCCAAAAACAACAATATTTTCAGAGAAAGAGATTATGAAACACATCTTATTTTTGGCTCCTTTCTTTGTAATTTCCAACATTGTTCCTGTTTTTTTATATTTACTCTGTGGGGAATCCATATTTTCTGCCTCAATATCTTTTTTTTTCTGTAAATCATATCCAATTCACACCTCACAGGATAGAAAATGGTTATGCTCATCATGATTCTTTAAACAATAAGATGTTTCAGGGATATAGTGGTTATTTTGATCTGTTTGCTGTAGAAAATTATCACAGGAGGTTTCTTGCATTTTTAAATATATCCTTCCCCCCCCCCACCCCCCAAACGTGATCATGTTTAAACAGTACAAGGGTCTTTATAACCTGATAAAGGACCTTTCCCCACTGGCACCTGACCATGGCACAAGCATGTCCTTCAACTTCTTTAATTTGCTATGTCCCCACAACATTACCTTCAGCTCATTCCCATTCCAGGAGTGAAACAGTCTTAAATTGTGCTTAGCATTTCCCTCAACATCCATCAACAGTCTCAAGTTGTATCAAATCTGTTATGCTTTGCCACCTATTGCATCAGATGCAAGGTCAAGTGAATAGTAAAGGGTGGGATCAGAAAGGTATTTGTTGATATTCCAGGCTCCTTCATTTTCAGTCCCAGTTTCTTGTCTTTTCCGTTCTGCTGTTACTGTATCTCTTAAAAGAACAGGACACAGGGATGCAAATTTATTTACTAGCATTAAATATATTACATCAGGAGTCCCTGACCCCTGGGTTGTGGCCCAGTACCGGGATATAGCCTCTTGGGAATTGGGCCACGCATGTGGTGGGTAAGCACAAAACTCCATTTGCACAAGCAGCACACGTGCATGCTTGTGCACCAAGCTCCATTTGTACTGAACCATCCCCTCTCCCCCACCCCCACCATCGCCACTCCCGGTCCGGAGAGTCGGAAGGTTGGGAGGCACTGTACTGAATCTATGGCCCTTACTAGAGGGCTACCCCATATGATTTGCCAAAATTATGAAGACCATTTGATGACATCCAAGAAATATACACAATTCCAACTCTTAAGCGCAGATCTGGTACCCGTATTTTACCTGTTTGACTCAAAGCTGAAATAATAAAATAATGGAATGACAGGTGCACCTGGAGTAAAAGTAAAAGTAAAAGAAATGCAGTAGAAAATATCTAGTAGCAATGCTACCATAGGTTTCAACTGCCACTTGTACATTCACATTGCTCGGTTAAATTATATGAAGTGAAGATTGGAAGGAATGCAAACTTGAATTTAAGATGTCTATCATTAATCTGAAATAAATCTGAAAATACATTTAGCATCAGTTCTAGAGGAAGTAGGGTTCTTTTTGAGACAGCAGCAGGCCTCATTTTCATGACCACAGGTTGCATTTAACTGGGCCACTAGGCCATACATATAGAAGAGACCATGGGCATTTCTGAGGTTGGGGAGAAAGGATTTTTTCTTTTCTTTCTTTTCTTTCTTTTCCTTTTCTAATTGAATTAAGCTTATTTTAGGTTTTATACTATAGTTTCCCTGAATTTGCCTAAAATGTCTAAAACTTCAATGCTGATTTTAAGCTGCTAGAAAAACATCCCCAAATTTAGGGTCCATATGTGCATTTGGAGCCCAATAAGTTCTAAGGAAGATTGTGTTGTATAGAACTTAAATATATGCATTCCAGAGGTGGTATTCAGCAGGTTCTGATCAGTTCTGGAGAACCGGTAGCGGAAATTTTGAGTAGTTCGAAGAACCAGTAAATACCACCTCTGACTGGCCCCGCCCCCATCTATTCTCTGCCTCCCGAGTCCCAGCTGATTGGGAGGAAATGGGGATTTTGCAGTAACCTTTCCCTGGAGTGGGGTGGGAATGGAGATTTTACAGTATCCTTCCCCTACCATGCCCATCAAGCCATGCCCACCAAGCCATGCCATGCCATGCCACACCCACCAAGCCACGCCCACAGACCTGGTAGTAAAAAAAATTGAATCCCACCCCTGATGCATTCCTTTCTGCATACAGAACAAGAATCAAGATTGCTTGCCTTTTGCCCCTCCAGCAACCAGGAGCAGAAACAGCCCCAGAATTCAACTATTGCCTTAGAACTGATGAAACCACACAGGGAAGATAGAAATCACATGTCAAAACTCCCCTTCCATTCAATTGATTGCTATGTTAATTTTCAGCACACCAGCTCCTTTTCTTGCTTTCCATTCACTCTCATTTTTTACATACAGTGCAATCAAGATTTGATGCATTAGATTTTTCTACCTGTCTCATCATGTAATCTACAGTAACTGCTTCCCCCAATCCAAACAGATAAGAGGCCGCAGACGTAGCTGGAGGAAGAACAGAATGCATGTGTCAAATACCCAGGATGTCAGGCAGCACAAAGGCACCTCTTTCATTGATTTTAAATTCCACTCGTTTTTTATGTACTTCCACTTTCCTGGAGCTTGACAATGACACTGCTGTCTCATATTTGACAGCCAGCCTGACAGTTTGAGTTGAAGCCATAGCACAGTGGTGTTAACCGGGCACTGAGGCTACAGTGTTTATGGAATGTCTGGTGGGGCCATCTAAAGCCTTCCACTCACGACACCTGGGAACAAGTTCAGTTGATTGAACAATAGCTTGCCACATATTGGCACAGATTTCTAAATTACAGTTTTATATGATGATTTGTACCACATCCCAAAGGCGATGTTCTTTTTTTTATAAAGTCTTAGTATTTTAGGTTTATAGGGTTTCTTAAATTAGACTAGATTTCTAGTAGTATGGACAGAATTTCCATTTTGGTTTACGGATTTTGGTTTACCATTTCACCTTATCAACAACCCAACAAGTGTTGACTGCTTGTCCTGATCTATATACCATAATCTGTTTAAAGTTTAATAGTGATTTTCAGATTTCTAAAATGACAAAATATAGGTACATGAAATACTGAAAAACTCTTAATTTCTATGATACTTGTAAATTTTTGGTTTTCCATTTCCATTTGTTCCCTCTTTTGCTTACTGTATATTTTTCTTAAATGTTCAATATAATGTATATATAATATAGATGAGATGAAATCTAATTTTTTTTTTAAAAAAAAGCCTCACAGTAAGTTCCTGATAAGTAAGTAAGCCCTACTAAGCAGTTATATACAAAAGTATGAAGGCTATTGCTTAACGCATTGTAAGCTGCCCTGAGTCTCCAGAAAAGGGTGGCATATAAATCGAACCAATAAATAAATAAATAAATAAATAAATAAATAAATAAATAACCAAATGCATCCTGATTACAGTCAAGATAAGATCAAGATAAGTATTTGGAATAAAAAGCATTTGGAATAAAAAGTATTTGGAATAAAAAATATTTGGAATGAGTGTAGATTTGCAACAATAGTAACTACAGTTTAACAATATTCTGGACTTTAATGAGTTGTCTTCTAGCTAAAATTTAGCATGAGATTTTAAAGACTTGAGTCAATTCCTTGAGTCAAGTCCACAACAAATATGTTGTGGACTTTGTATGTATATGTGATTTATAATTATTTAAAAAAAAAAGAAATATTTTTTGTCCCATTTCAGAATATCTCTATTATGAGGCATATAAAACACCAAATGCTCTTTAAATACACTGCTGCTACTTAATTCTGATTCAGCCCCTTTGTACTTGTTCCAAATAGTAGCTTATCAGCCAAAATTGCTTATTTCTTTCACTAAATGAAAAATAATCACTATGTGATTATCCTACTTTACAGGTGGACACCAAGTAACTGAGGCAGTCTCCCAACTGATATTTGGAACCAGTATGAAATATTTCCACAAAACTGTACTGTAGTTGGGCTTTCTCTATCCCTAATATAATGTAGACACCTTACAGGGTCCCTCACCCCCCTTTCTATCTCTTGCAAACTGAATGCGACGTCTGGTGCGAGGGTAGCCACTTTGCCACCAGTAGATGGCGTAAGGCAACATCCCATTTTCGCCAGTCGCCAAGCAAACCCTGCCCAACTGAGCTATTTTCCCGCCTCCCTCCCCTTCCTCTCGGTCCTCCCTTTCCACCCAAATTTGCAGCCAGCCCCGCCGCATCCTCACGAAAACTCCTCCCGCTGCACCTGAAAAAGGCGTCTATTGACAAACTTGGCTGAAAGAAGCGAGGCGAGCCCTGGGCGAGGAGATTTAGGATCTGGAGCTCCAGGTCCTGTGTAAACCGTCCAGAGGAAGGGGGCGCGGGGGGGGGGAAACACCCGGAGATACCGGAGGGAAGAATTGGCTTGTTGGTTCGATCAGCGAGCTGTGCGCATCGCCTCGGCTCCCCTCCCGGTTCTCCTCCCCCCGCTCCGATTCACACCCCCTTCGGCTCTAGCTGGGCTTGAGCTGGCATCGCTCTGCACTGCATGACAGCTCCAGGCTCCGAAGACGACGTAGCAGCCGGCAGTGGGAAGCCAAGCCCAGCTGAGGAAAATCTGAGGAAGGCTACGCGCCGGGGATCGGCGGGGGTGTGAGCCCAGAAGGCACCTTGCCCTGTCTGATTCCCAGGGCGCTGCTGCCGCCGCCGCCGTCTCCTCCTCTTCCTCGTCTCCGATTGCCTTTCGCTCCTGTTTATAACCCCACCCCTGACCTTATTCTCTGGCCGCCCAAGACTGAGCAGAAAGACAGAATCCCAGAGAGAGAGAGAGAGAGAGAGAGAGAGAGAGAAAATAGCACCGGGTCAAGGAGAAATACCTGCGCATCGCTATTAGACTGCAATTGATGGGAGATACACATTTCTTTCTCTAGGGAAGCTGGTTACTTGCCCGCCCCCTTCTCTCTCTCTCTCTCTTTTAAAGAAAAGAAGCCGGTCGAAAGCAGAAAGGGGGAGAAAAGGGGGGCTTCTGCTCCAAAAGAGAAGAGAGGGCAGGGCAACGAAAGGAATCGGGGAGAATTTCGCCGAGCGTTTTCCCTCCCTTTGTTGAATGAGAAGGACGGCGCCGGATCACCATGAGCACCAGCAGTAAGTACGGCTCTCCCTTGATTTTGGGGGGAAGGAGGAGTAGCGGCTTCTTTTGCACTCCGCCTTGCGGGGACGAGGGATGCCACAGAAGGATGGACCAGGATAGCAGTTTGAGAATGGTTCCCCCCCTCCCCCCCCCCGGTTTGGGATTTGGGATGAGAAAAGATGGAGGTATTATGTGGGATGGGTACACCTGCTGATCTTGAGCTCTACCCCTAACTAGAATTTTGACAACTCGATTTAAATGGGGGGGGGAGGCTGTGGGGGGGCGTGTCACTTCCACAGACACCTAACTACTCTAGGTTAAAAGAGTACATTCACTGGTGTCTTCAGGCTGCGCCCCCACCTGTGCCTCTAACTAAAGATAGGCATAATCTTTTCAGTGGCATCTCAGGGCAGAGTTCAGAGGAAGGGTGGCAGGGTTGGGAGATGAAACTATGACTGTATGTGTAGGTGCATTGATATGTTGCCAAACGTTTCCCACTCTTTAATCAGACTGCAAGATCTCTCTCTGTAGTGGACAATACGATAGCGCCTAAATGAAATGGCAAGAAGCATTAAGAAAAGTGCCACATCTGAATTTGTAAAGGAGTAAAAAAAAAAAAAAAGGGTAAAAAACTGAACTGTGTCAGACCAGTTTTAAAGACAGGAGGGTTTCAGTTTCTACAGCACTGAATTTGACAAATCGGTCAGAAAGATCTGCTGCTGGGGTTGATGTTAGTCTTGCTGTTTTGTTTCTCTTGGTGTTTAATAGTATTTTCACTCATCTGTGAGGCAAATGAAGCCACCTTGTAGCCTTCCTCCTCTGACAGCTAGAGGAGAAATCTTTAGATACTGAGATTTCAGATTTTCCAGGATTTGGGGGGAAAGGAGTAAATAGGTAGGTTGCAGGGCTGGGTCAAAAACTCTTGCTTGCAATCCTGGAGAGTTAATGTCTCATCTAAATTAACCAATGGTCTTGACATTGATGTAGGTCTACATGTTCATAAGAAAACTCTTCATTTGCATTTGTGTCCTTGGGATTTGACATGATATTGCAATTAGCAAATATTTGGCAGGGGATTCCCCCCCACCCACCCCCCACTCCCAAGAATGGCATCAGTCGAATTTTCAGTGTTCTTCGTCAGATTCCTCCCTCTTTCTTTTTGCTGTGCTGGGTTGGTCCCTATTTTCTTGAGACACAAACAGGTGGTGCTAGTGCTGCTCCAATGGTGACAGCCAAGGAAAAGATTTCAATCCAAAGAACGAGTGATTTTTAGATTTCATATGCCACATTCTTAAGAAATAAACTGCCCCAGTGTTTTCCCTATGAGTCACAGCTGAATTACGAGCTAGAAAGGATGCTCTGATAAGTAGGCATAGATAATAGGCCCTACTAATGTATTCTTTTCCATCCAGTATCTGCCTAATAACAAAAGCCTAGAGCTCACCTGCACCACCCAACAAGGTGTCTTACTCAAGACCAGGGTGTTTTCTGCTTGGGTGGCAGAAAAACAAGGCTAAGCAGAATGAGGGAGCAGTTGTATCAGACACAACCAATAGCTGGGTAATGGTGGCCCCTTTCTCCTGGTAATGATGTGGGATTAATGTTTCATAAATCCATTATTTTTCCAGGAGTGTTGCCCCTCCCTCTCAGGCTCTACAGTTGTATGCACTTTCTGCACTCTGTTCAAAGTCCACTCCCATAGCAACTCAGGGCTTCCAATGTTGGGGCTGTGCTCCCCATTATTCTATCTACAGACAATGAGAGTATAAGTGCCTCCTATCCATCTATATAGAATGCTGAATGGGAAGAAGCCATTTTACAAGTATAGCATACATTTGCTATGTGTATTACTATGATATTGGGAATATGAAAAAAAGAAAAAGGCATTTACTCACATCAATACACTCTTGCTTAGTCTGAGCCTATTCTTAATTTGGCCCATGCCTGGATGAGCCAAAGTGGGCTCAGCTATGATCAACCTACCCAAACTGTCACATCACATTTGCGTGCCTTTGTCTTCCCCTCTGTACCATGATGTGATACTGAAAAAATGTATTTTCCTCCCAGGGCAAAGCACTTTCTGCTCTTTTACCACATTGCAATGGATCATTTCTTATCATTTATGAAAGTCTGGAAAGCAAGAACTACCTTTTTTCAAATTAATAGCCAAAATTAGAATCTCACACAGTTACTAGCTTCAAAAGAAACCACAAATGTATTTCTGTTAATGTAATATGACCGCTTTCATCCCATAGAACCATGCATTATAATCCTAGTGCAGTAGCAATCAGTCATAATCTTGGGTAGAAGGAAAGGGCTTCTTTTGCAATAATTTTTATTCTAGTAGGCCCACATCAATGAAATCAACCAGTAGTGGGAGGGATTTACATACTCATCTTACTGCAATAGAAACTAAAAAAAACTATTCTTTAATTAACCTTGTTGGAGTGAATGACAAACATTCATTTATATGGGAATAATGAAAGAGATGTTGTTAAGATAAATACATCTGCCAGTTCCTATGGTAGTATCCTCAGCTATTATAGATCATCCTGAATTTATCTTTGCTTGATCTCCCTAGAATAACCTTCTCCAACAATGATATCTTTTAGAAGGTGACTGTATCTGAATAACACCTAGGTTGGAGAAGTTTGTCCTATATAAGACCATGGTGGAATTAATATAAACCAACTTAGATCAGGGTTTACTCTGAATTATTGCTTCATCACAAGCCATGAACCATGCCCTCTAGTATATTTAAGATGCACAGTATCTCCTAGAGGGTAATATCTAATCATTAGTACAAGTATTTAGCTGCACAATTTGAGAACATATACAAGAAAGTAGGTCCTATTTTCTTTGAAGAACATACTTCCAGGTAAACATGCTTAGGATAACATTGTATGTCACACTGTGTCCTAGAGTGCAGGGCTAACTATCTTAACAATTCTTTATTATTTTATTATAGCTAATACAATTCCAAATAGGGGTGTAATGGCTCAGCAGTTAAAGACATTGAGCTTGTCAGCTGGAAAGCTGACAGTCCAGGTTCGAGACCCAAGCACCATGCAATGGAGTGAGTTCCGTTCCTTGCCGCAGCTCCTGCCCACCTAGCAGTTTGAAAGCATGCAAATGCGAGTAGATTAATACATACCACTTGGGTGGGTAATAGCATTCTGTGCGCCTTTGGCATATAGCCATGCTGAAAGGTCTTCAGACAATGCTGGCTTCCTTAGCCAAGAAACAGATGAGCACTGGGCCCTAGAGTTGGACACGAATGGACAGGGAAAGCTTTACCTTAAATACAATTTCAAAAGAAGGTTGTAATTTCATAATGGGAAATCTCACTATTTCAATAAACAGACTTCTGTTCTTTCGCTACAACAGGCTCTGTCTGAATATTACTCTCAGATTAATTTTATTCTGAGAGGAATTCTTGTTCAAATACCCAGAAAATATTTTTAGAAAGTAATGTCTTTGTTTTATGGTTTTCTTTCAATTCTGAGAATATCTTTACAGAAAATACACTTAGTGGGGAAGAATTTGTTTTTCCAAATCTGGTGGTATGTTACCAAGCTTACCTATTATCAAGTGTTAATACTGGAAGCCAACAATTGGTGTTAAATTTCTGATTTGGGCAACTTTGGAATACGTACATACATACATACGTACGTACGTACGTACGTACGTACGTATATATGTGTGTGTGTGTGTATGTATTACGATCTAAATTTACTTAAATTCTACTACCTCTGGAAATATATCAGTTAGGAATGTAATGTCTAAAAAAAGGAAATATTTTATCCTTTTTTCCATGCTAAATTGACTTTATGGGGAAACCCAACATTTAAAATTGGGAAAAAGATGGCAGTGTGGAAAAATTGGATGAAAGTGGGATATGGATTTTTGTCTAATTAATAAATATGAGAATGAATGTTTAACATATACTGGCTAAGAGACAAATATCTATGAGATGTAACTTAGTGGCAATATTTGCAGCTTGAACATTTGCTAACAACATTTTTTGGAACAGCAGCTTTTTTAGCTTCTAACATACCCAATATACATGAACACTGGTTAAATCATTTAAAACTAAAACCATACTATTAGTTTCTAAAGATATTTGTTATCAATAAATCAATTTTATATGCTGATGTTAAATATTAGGGGAATAAGGAATTAGAGGTTGTTGTACAGCCTAAACAATGGGAGAGTGTCTTAACTTCTATGGCAAGAGTATCAGTTCACCTTAAACTGTAACTAATACAACAAAAATAATAGAATTTATTGGACTCTATTATATGTGTATAAGCTGGCACAATGGCTCAGTGGTTAAGATGCTGGACTTGTCAGCTGGAAAACTGACAGTTCAGGTTCGAGAACTGAGTGTCGTATGATGGAGTGAGCACCCCACCTCCTGCTGACCTAGCAATTCGAAAGCATGCAAATGTGAGTAGATAAATAGGTATCACTTCAGTGGGAAGGTGTTTCATTGGACACTCTGCGTTGCAGTGTGATGTCATGCTAGCCAGAGGACCACAGAAATGTCTTCAGACACTGGCTCAGTGACCTAGGAACAGAGATGAGCTCTTCCCCCCTAAAGTCAGCTACAACTAGTGGAGTAAAACCCGCAGGGACTCCTTTCCCTTACATCTGTATAGAAAAGGATTGTCTAGGACAGCATTTTATTGGAGATATAATAAAAGCAATGCTTCTTTAAAACATGTGTTTTTACAATAACTACAATGTTACTAAGTTTGGGGAGAAAGCAATGGACTATACAAAGGTGACTGTGTGATAAAAGCTAAAATTTTCAAAGGTAACATTCTCTTGAATTACATACCCAGTACATGGAATTTAATAACTGGATAACACAAATGGATTCTCTGTGCCCTTATAGCTAAAGACAACTGGCTCTCTCGTTTGCTGCATAGCTAACTTGTCTGAAGAAATGAGTTTTGGCTGAATTACAGGAGACCAGGAGAAACCTATTCTACAGGGGTTTTTTTTTTTA